GAATCAGTCATATCCTACAGGCTCCTCTCCTCAAGGAAGCACTGAGAAACAGGAAATCCCTTGGCTTCCAGGACCAGAGGCTTCTAGGTGGGTTGGAGACACAGCTGCAGGCAGCTGCAGGCCCCAAGGGCTACAGCCATGCAGGACCCAGGGCTCTCTCTACCTTCACCCCTGGGCAGGTTAGAGACCTGTCAGGTTCCCTAATGGTCTGCCAGTTTAGAGACCAGGTTGCAGAGTCCAGGTGGCCCAGGTGGTGCTGTAGGAGGGTCCTGGCCTGGGAGTCAGGGGACTGCTCTAGTAGTACTCTGGGCAAGACACTGAATTCTGTAGGGTTCAAGTTCCTCCTGTGTTTTTAAACTGAAATTGATTAAATGCTCACTCTGTGGCAAGGATAATACCGCGACTGTGGGGATAACCAGTACTATCTCCCATGATTCTATCTCATTTAACCCCATTTGCATTTAACAGTTGAAGAAACTGAGTCTCTGAGGGGTAAGACATCTTGGTCACAGTCACACAGCTGGTTGGGGGCTGCCTCGGAACGGGGACTACGATGTCTCCCAGCAAAGCCTGTGCCCTACACCGCTTCAAATCCTACAACAGTGGGTTCTACAATGCCTGTGGTTTCAGCCTGAGGGAGCGGTCAGGTTCCAACAGCCCAGACACCAACCTGAAGACCATGAGAAAACCCACTTGAACAGCCAGCTGCCCTAAAGCAGATGAAGGAAATCGGAATATGCCACCACAAAATATGGCCCTTTGGCATAAGGATTATCTTGAGCTGGTTCAGATGTAGAAAGACGTCTTCCCAGAGCTTCTTCCATCTAAAAGTGGAAACTACTTCTTCCTTTTTTTTTTTTTTTTTTTTTTGAGACAGATTAACAAGAGAAAAACAAAGAGGGCCTCTGTTTTTCTCTTGTTAATCTGTCTTATCTAATTTGCGGGCCCCAGTCAGAAAACCTAGGAGAGTAAAGGGAAAAAGTTAAGTTTTTTGGAACCCACAGTCTCACTCTGTCACCCAGGCTGGAGGGCAGTGGTGCAATCACGGTTCACTGCAGACTCCACCTCCCAGGCTCAAGCTATCCTCCTGCCTCAGTCTCCTGTGCAGCTGGGACTACAGGCACATATCACTACACCCAGCTAATTTTTTTTCTATTGATTTTTAATTTTTTTTTTTTTTTACTTTTTTTGTAGAGATGGGGACTCACTATGTTGCCCAAGTTGGTCTCAAATTCCTGGGCTCAAGCGATTCTCTCACCTCAGCCTTCCAAAGTGCTGAGATTACAGGCATGAGCCACCATGCCCAGCCCTAAAAGCGGAAACTCCTAAGAAAAGACCCAAAGTGCTGAGATTACAGGCATGAACCACCATGTCCAACCCTAAAAGCAGAAACTCCTAAGAAAAGACGCCTGCTGTAAATATCCCCATAGAAGCTTTGTGGCCACTTGATTCACTTCCCCAGTTTGCCACCCTGGGAAGCCAAAAACCATTTTTCCTTTGTCTTGTCATTTCTCTACATATTTATTGCTCTTTGTTAAGATGCTTTATATATTTATTTTTATTTTTATTTTTTTGAGACGGAGTTTCACTCTTGTTGCCCAGGCTGGAGTGTAATGGCGTGATCTCAGCTCACTGCAACCTCTGCCTCCCGGGTTCAAGCAATTCTCCTGCCTCAGTACAGGCATGTACCACCATGCCTGTATAATTTTTTGTGTTTTTAGTAGAGATGGGGTTTCACCATGTTGGTCAGGCTGGTCTCCAACTCCTGACCTCAGGTGATCCACCTGCCTTGGCCTCCCAAAGTGCTGGGATTACAGGCGTAAGCAACTGTTATCAGCCTAAGATGCTTTATAGACCCCAAGTGCTAATTGCCCCTTTGAGTTACTCATCATTGATGTTTCTCCTGTGTGATTTGCATTATGTATGTTAATAAACTCTGTTTTTCTCTTGTTAATCTGCTTGTCCAATTCGCAGGGCCCCAGTCGGAGCACTTAGGAGAGTAAAGGAAAAAAAGTTAAGTTTTTCCCTTCCTATATAGACTCTAGAACGCACACTAAGGTGCCTCCCTCCACCTATAAAAGGGCCTCCAACCAGTAGCCTCAGATGATCACAGACCTCGCTGGAGGCCTCGAGGCAGAGGTGGGAAGGAGCTGGCCTCCTGCAGTGAGGATCCCTGCAGCTTTCACCTTCTACCGTCCCACTTCCCAAAACCGAAGACAGTACACCTCAGTGATCAAGAGCGTGGAGTCCACTCCGGGGAGGAACGATTCTCAGGGGCTTGCTTGCTGTGTGATCTTGGGCAAGCATCTTAACCTCTCTATGCCTCAGTATCCTCAACTGTAAAATGGGATTTGTTGTGAATCCCATTGACAAATCCCATTGAAAGAGACGATGTACTTAGACCACTTAGCACATACAGTAAGTGCTCAAATAGGAGCTTTTGCATAACCAAAGCAACTGAAAGTGAACTCTTCAGCTCTGTCCAAGAAAGTGAACAATCTCAGGGACCACCAAGAAAGCAGAAGGGGCATTTTTGTACAATTGCACAATGGGAGCAACTTTGAACCCTACCTCACTTATAACTTTCCCTTACACTAGACAAATAGAAAACGCCTATTTATTGTCAGATTTGCACTTTGTTAGCTCTGAATATATGGAGATTGTGAAATGAGGTACTGGAGCCAAAAATTTCCCAGAGAATTGGTTATTCAGTAATTATTCAGGGTCAAATTCCGCAAGGGGTTGAGTTTCTGTTCTCCTTTCAAATATACCAACTTTTAAAAGTGAAGTAAGGAGTGATCAGTGTTTCAGATAAAAAGCAGGGTCTTCAGAGAATTGGATGGTTCTTTTAAAACAATGCTTTTTGCCTGGCACAGTGGCTCACACTTGTAATCCCAGTACTTTAGGACACCGAAGCGGGTGGATTGCTTGAGCTCAGGAATTCAAGACCAGTCTGGGCAACATGGTGAAACCTCATCTCTACCAAAAATACAAAAACTTAGCTGGGCATGGTGGTGTGTGTCTGTGGTCCCAGCTACTTGGGAGAATCACAAGCCTTAGGGGCCAGGGGATGTCACATGGAGGTTGCAGTCAGCTGAGATGGGACCACTGTACTCCAACCTGGGTGACAGAGTGAGGCTCCGTTTCAAACAAAAAACAAAACAAAACACAAACAGTGATCTCAAATATTGGCAGCATCAGAAACATCTGAGGCTGGCTAAGTTCAGGTTCCAGAGACTAGTTTTGTGGGTCTGGGCTGGGCCTGATATTGCTGCTGCTGGCTCGCCGACTGCAATCGGATGAGCCATCCTTTTACGTTTATTTATTTATTTTGAATAAATAAATAAAGCACTTACTGAGCGCTTAATGAACCACCGCTCCCAGCCGGAGTAGCCACCCTTTGTAGAAATGTCCTGGACCATTTTAATGATTCCCTTTTCAAAAATCCACTTAAATAGAGGTCTGCTGTACAAAGCGAGATACTTACATAGTCACTATTTCCCCCACAATGTTTATGTCTTTTAGATTGCTGACTTACTTCCAGAATTTAAAAGTTGTCATTGTGTATTTCATTTCACCAGAATTGAATACAGTTATTATAATCTCCCCCCCGAAAAAAAGGACTTGTTGAACTCCCCCAATTCCGGGTCTGCTTAAGCTCTGTGCTCAGCTCTGGGGGAAGCCCGTCCATGAGGAAGCAGTGGGTCATCATGGGAAGTGAAGTGGGGCCAGCCAAACCAAAAGAAATAGAGCAGACCTGCAAACCCACACCCACTCCCAAAGTCAGTCTATTGTCAGAAAAGCTGAAGCTGCTGGGCACGGGGCTCACACTTGTAATCCCAGCACTTTGGGAGGCCGAGGCATGCGGATCACCTGAGGTTGGGAGTTCGAGACCAGCCTGACCAACTGGGAGAAACCCCGTCTCTACTAAAAATACAAAATTAGCTGGGTGTGGTGGCACATGCCTGTAATCCCAGCTACTCAGGAGGCTGAGGCAGGAGAATTGCTTGAACCCGGGAGGCAGAGGTTGCAGTGAGCCAAGATCGCTCCGTTGCACTCAGCCTGCGGATTCAAGGCGAAGCTCTGTTTCAAAAAAAAAAAAAAAAAAAATTGCTGAGGATGGGGTGGGCGTCCTGTGGCCTAAGCACTCAGGAGGCTGAGGCAGGTGAATCACTTGAATCCAGGAAGTGGAGGCTGCAGTGAGTCAAGATTGTACCATTGCACTCTCCAGCCTGAGTGACAGAGCAAGACCCCATATCAAAAGAAAAAAAGAAAAAGAAAGAAAGAGAAAAAAAAAAAGAAGAAAGGCTGAAGCTACTGGGAGTCTCCAAAACAAAACGCTCCACGTCCAAGACCTTGGGGAACCCCAGCCACCAGGGCCTGTGTGGGGAGCAGGTAAGGGTCACTGGCTGGGGTCAGTAGGCACTCAAGAAGTGCTTGTTGACTAAACGAATAGTAAATGTAATCCGAGGTGACTTTTTAAGGGGGGTGGGACAGAGGGAGCCCAGAGCACTGGTGTAAGAGGTGGCACCCCTTTTTTGGCCTTCTTTGCTTCCTCTTTTCTCTGCCCACTCCCAAGGCCCCATCAGTGATTCTAAGGGGCATCCATTCCCCAGGTTGGGGCACTGGGGAACCTCACTCACCAGGGACAGCTTTCCGGACTTCAGTGTACACTGTCTCTGTGCCCTTCTTTACTAGATCTGGAAAAAGGACAAGGCATAAGTTAGTAGCTGCCTCTGGGAACCAGGTCAGTCCACTGCAGTCATAGGAAAAGGTCTGAGGCTCTGCAGGCAAGGCTGTACCCCACCACTGCACCCCACTAGAACCAGGTCCAGAAGCACCCGGAGACCTTGTCATTTCTGATATTAGAAGATCCTGGCTGGGCGCGGTGGCTCACGCCTGTAATCCCAGCAATTTGGGAGGCTGAGGTGGGCAGATCACTGAGGTCAGGAGTTTGAGACCATCCTGGCCAACATGGCGAAACCCTGTCTCTACTAAAAATTCAAAAAATTAGCCGGGCATGGTGATGCGTGCCTGTGATCCTAGCTATTCAGGAGCTAAGGAATGAGAATCGCTTGAACCCAGAATGCAGAGGTTGCAATAAGCCAAGGTTGCAATGAGCCAAGATTGCGCCATTGCATTCCAGCCTGAGCAACAGAGTGAGACACCATCTCAAAAAAAAAAAAAAAGAAGAAGAAGAAGAAGAAGATGATCTTGGTTTAACACCAGCATCACCCCTAGTCTGCGAATAGGAGGTCAGCAGGTCATTGTGGAGCAGGGCCACATGCTCCAGAGGAATCCTGGACCTGAGGGGCCATGGATGGAGGGGCAAGGGCCTGCAGCCTCCAGCTTGGTGGCCCCGTTCCTCTTCCCCTGCCACCGTGACCCTTGTCCAGACACTCTGCCAGGTCCCTCAATGCAGGGTTGGGCTATGGCCTCCCCATCACCTGAGAGCCCAGACCCCAGGATCCAGAACCAGATCCCAAGGTCTGGGTTAGAGCCTGGGGGTTGTCAGTGACCCCAGGAAGAGCCAGGACTGAGAACGCTTACAGGGTTAGACAGCTGGGCTGGCTGTTTTCACTGCTGGCTCCTGAAACTCATTGCAGTTTCTGGTTGGATTGGTCTGGGGGGCAGGTCCCTGGTGCTGGTTTTTTTAGCAGCTCCTCAGGGGCTCTACTATGCAGACAAGGCTGAGATCCTCTGGGTTAGACCCTCTCAATATAGCAGCATGTTGACTGACCCAGGGTGTGGTGTACACCTGGAGGAGACTCAAGGGCGCCCTTCCTGCCATCTGTTTACCTTACACTGGGGTATGGGCACAGGATGTGTACACAAAAATACACAGCGTACACACATGCACACTCATGCACACAATGTATATACATTCTATGTACACTCTCATACAGTGTGTAGGGTATGTCTGCACACATTGTATACACATACAGCACGTACATACACACTGTATGTACAAATATGCAAGCTGGGTGTGCACACACTCATGCACACAGGGTGTGCACACACATACATACCCACCAACCCTGAGGAAACAGGATGGAACCTGGCCACTTCCCAGCTCCTGTCACCTGCACAGAGGCCCAGGAAGCCTCTCTGTAGAAAAGAGCCTGATGTCGTGTGGGCCATTATTCTCCTTTTACAGATGGGGAAAGGGAGCCCCAGATAGGGTAAGGGACTTCCTGTGCCACGGTCAGTGCATTTCCCTCCTCAGAGTGGGTGGCTGGGGTGTGACCCTGGACGCTACCTGCACTGAGATGCCCTCGTCTCACCATGCTCCAGGGACACCCCACTCTCACCTCCTGGCCCCACACACACTCCTCCACAGCCAGCACTGCCCTTTCTCCCTGCCCCATTTCCCTGCAACCCTGGTAGAGCTTCACGCATGTACCAACACCCCCACACTTACCCTCCCTCTGTGTCCTGGGACGTTACAGGGCCCCCTGAGCTCCATAGCATGTTGGTGACATTTGTCTACAACACACTGAATGACTTATTCCCAAGACCATCTCCCTGGCACCTCCTCTGGGGCGACAGCTGGGGTCTTGGACATGTCCCATTCCTGGGCTTGCTCAGCTGCCCAGGGGCACCTGTCCAAGTTTGAAGTGACAATAATGGTGGTGGTTTCTGTGTTAGGAACCATTTGTGAGGTGAAAGCCTGGGGGTGGGTCAGATCCCTACAGTTGAACTTGGGGCATTTGGGGAGACTAGGGCCTTACACTGACTTCCCCAGGGCACCAAACAGGATTTGGAACTCAGTAGAGTGACTGAGCCACCAGGGTACCCCACAGCTGGGACAGCAGAGATGCCCACACACCCCTCACTCTCTGTGGCGCCAGATGTGGGGGCCTCAAGGGAAGCTGTAGGGATCCCCATCCCTATTGGGGGATCCTCCACATCTCCAAGACACCGTCTGCTTGATGTCAGGCCTGGCCAAGTTACTCACTCGGCAGAATCCTAGCCACCTAGTGTGAACCCCACACTGTGGAAGAGGAAAGGTGATCGGGCCTGGTCCCAGCTTTCAGGAGCTCCAGGCTGCAAGGCAGACAGGTGCACAAACAACGCAGACACTGCAATAAATGCTGCCGAATGCCATGTACCAGGTGCATGGTGCGGGAGCAGTCACGGCCAGCTCACCCTCCGACCCAGGCCTACAGTGGGGGCTGGGGCAGGTGGGGAATAAATGGAGGGAGAGGTCTTGGTGTTTGGGCCTGGGGGCCCAGACACCTTGCACACTTTAGGAACCCCATAGTCCCCAGGCCCACAAGGGGCAGCTGGAGACCTCTCTGGTGGCCTTGGGGATGCTGTAACACTCATACCAGCCAGGGCAGCAGGGGAGGCTTCTGCTTCTTGGTGGAGCTGCTAGAGTTGCAGCTGCTCCCGAATCTGTGCAGCTTAGTGATGGGTGGGCAGGCAGAGTTGTAGCTTATCACTACCTCCCCTCCCCACCCACTCCACGGCAGCAGCTGCCTGCTAATGAGTAAACCAGGCTGGCAGGCTGTTTGTCTCTGCTGTCAGGGATGTTTCCGGATGGGGCTTTATTTTGGCTTCTGTTTTTCTCTGTGTTAACAGAGAAGGAGATGGTTTCAACGTCATGGGGTTTTCCCAGCAATTAGTCTCAGAGCAAACATGCAGCATACCAGGATTTACTGAGTTCCTTCCTGCCCCTCCTCCACCCCAAGTGACTACTTGGTTGGCTGCCACTAGGGTCAGAGCTGGATGTGGTTCCCATCCCCTCCTCCATAGGAGGAAGAAGCCTTGAGAACAGGGAACTGGCTTGGTTAAGACCAGGTCAAATGTACTCACCACTGGCCTTGTACCCACAAAGCCCCTTTTCTTACCTGGTAATACCTGGCTCTCCACCCACAGGAAGGCAGAGAGGGAACACCTGAGGCTCAGGCCTGACCTCCCCCCACACTGCTCCTTAGCTGCCAAGGAGGAGGATGGGTCTAGAAAACTCATATTGAACTCCCAAAAAGCTCTCCATTGCCCCCAAGTGACCCTCCTTACGGGTCTACCTGGACCTCTGCAGCCCACACAGCGTTTGTGCAAATGGGAAAGAGGGGCCAGTTAGGTGATGGCACCCCTGCAGCTGCACAGCGTGGCAAGGAGGACACATGCTGACCACCTCTGCTTCACCCAATCCTGGGGGGTCTCGATACCTCCTAATTTTACAATTTTTTGTAGAAATAAGTTCTTGCTTTGTTGCCCAGGCTGGTCTTGAACGCCTGGGCTCAAGTGATCCTCTCGCCTCTGTCTCCCAAAGTGCTGGCATTACAATACCTCCTTCTTGTCCTTTCAACCCTTCCCCGTCTTTGAGTAAGAAAAAGAAAACCAGGGCCAGGTGCAGCGGTTCATGCTTGTAATCCCAGCACTTTGGGAGGCTGAGGTGGGCAGATCAGTGAAAGTTGGGAGTTCGAGATCAGCCTGGCCAACATGGTGAAACCCTGTCTCTATTAAAAATACAGAATTAGCCAGATGTGGTAGCAGGCACTTGTAATCCCAGCTACTCGGGAGGCTGAGGCAGGAGAATTGCTTGAACCCGGGAGGTGGAGGTTGCAGTGAGCTGAGATCGCGCCATTGCACTCCAGTCTGGGCAACAGCGCGAGACCCTGCCACACACTCACACACACACACGCACACACACATGCACACACACATGCACACACACACAGCAGCAGCAGCAGCAGCAGCAGCAGGCAGTAATTAGGTCTCCCATCCTGGCCATTCAATTCTTCATCTGGTGCTGCAATCTGAGTCCAAGATATATCTACAATAGAATCCATACATTGCTAGCTCTGTGCCTGCCCATCCCTCTTGCCTGGTGATAACATACTAGTCTCTCTGCTTCTGTTCTTGCCCTCCTTAAGTCTGTTTTCCATGCCAACCACGAGGACTTTTTTTTTTCTTTTTTTGAGACGGAGTATCACTCTATCGCTGAGGCTGGAGTGCAGTGGTACAATCTCGGCTCACTGCAACCTACGCCTCCTGGGTTCAAGCAATTCTCCTGCCTCAGACTCCCAAGCAGCCAGGATTACAGGCACATGCCACCATGCCAGGCTAATTTTTGTATTTTTAGTAGAGACAGGGTTTCACCACGTTGGCCAGGCTGGTCTCAAACTCCAGACCTCAGGTGATCTGCCTGCTTCGGCCTCCCAAAGTGTTGGGATTATAGGTGTGAGCCACCGTGCCCGGCCAAGGACATTTTTTAAAGAAGAAAGTTGAAAGCTGTTACTTCCTTGTCTAAATCCTTCCAAAGGCTCTCGAATCCCCTTAGAATAGAATGCAAAGAAATCCTCGGAGGCCCTGCATTCTCCCCAGCTTCCTGTGCCTGCCTTCTGTCCTGCTCACTCTGCAGACGCAATGGCCTCCTTTCAAATCTTGGATGAGCCAAGCTCTGAACTGCCTCACACTGCCCTTTCTATTTCCTGGGACTTCCTATTTCCAGGAGGGACACCCCTCCCTCCTGGTGGGGCTACCTTCTTTGCACCCTTCTGGCCCTGCTTAAATGTCACCCCTCGAAGAGGCCTCTTTGGGCCATCCAAGCCAGAAAAGATGTCACCTTTTATGCCTTCTCATCGCACCCTGTTCTTCCCCTTCCAGGCACTTATGATAACCAGCGCCACCCAGCCTTTGCTGCAGTGTGTTCCTGGCTCCCTCTCAGGCTGTCCCTCCACAAGGGAGGATC